TCACGTCAATCGTAGACCTCTTACCCTTTGTCACGATCACCGTCCTCTCCTCCTCAGCTAACCCCTCCTCAGTCATCGAGGCACTCCCTTTGCCCCCTCTGTCGGCCTTCCTCCTCTGTCACCCCTTCACCGGGCCCTCTGCCTCGACTACCATGTCGGTCGTCCCTCTGCCTCGGGCACCTCCACCTCCATTTCAGGTCCGCCTCCGCCACCTCCCAAAATGTAGAATCTGGCTGTAAAAGAGAGTCGTCCCGTCTACCATCCTCTTCATCGCCTCGTCTATCACCCTCCCCGTCATCCCGTCTATCACCCCTTCGTAGTTCTGCTACATCGTCTCAGAGCACTACAACCTGCACATCAAGGTCTCATATATGGCTGCGGAGTACTGCAACTTCTTGGCATAAACTCGCTATCTCGCCACCCATCTCTCGTCGCAGCGCCCCTACCTCTCGTCGTCGCGAACACACCTCATCTCTCATCTCCACCATAAATCCAGCCAGAAGGTCGTACAAATCACCGTGCACAGGAGCTCAACGAGGAAGGTGCCTGGATGGAGGAGGAGATCTCATCGACAACGGAGGCAATCCCATCGGAGGCGGATGTGATCCCATCGGAGGCAATCCCATCGGCGGCGGAGGTGATCGTCGATCCACTGGACTGCACTCCTATACAAATAACATTAAAAATTACTATCAACATATTATATTCAATGAACATACCCTATCCCGATCAACGATGGACCCGAACATCTGATTGTTCGGCGACGCTGGAATAGACAAGCCACGCTTGTAACTCTGACCCTCCTCCTCTATCGACGGTGTCAACTCAATGAGGACTTCAAGTTAACATATTGACATTTTACCATGTTAATGACCATGTATTGAGATTTTAAAAGGACGTACAATAGATAATTGCAAAATGTAAAATACGTACCTTTGGATCGTCGATGGGAGCTGATAATTGTTTTGCAAATGGCTTGTCTTGTGCTCGCTAGTGATGCATTCGAGGGCAGCACGTCTACCATCTTCTCGCATACCGGCCAGCCAATATGGGGACTGTCTCCTACACCCATATTTACAACGGTTACAATTTTTATATATAGAATTTAATAAAAAAATAATAATTTATTATGTTGAACATTTACCTGTAAAGCCAATGGAAATGATAGTTGTAAGGTATCCATAAAACATATCTGCCCCCAAGGATAATTAATGTTATCAACAACGTCCAAATAAAAAACGTCGATTCCTGTGATGACACCTAAGTATGCTCTTAAGGATAAGCCTCAAGCCCAGCTTCAACCTGTTAGACATATGATCGCATGCCCTGAATGCGTCTACCAACTGCCTCAGAGTTACCGTCGTCTGCCCTTGAAAATATTCATTCAACAGCCTCTTGTTTCTCGGAATACGGGCCCATGCTGCTTCTTCGCCCGTACACCTCAATCTGGTGATGAAGGAAAATTCGAATATAGAAAATGTAACTACCTTGCCCCCAGATCAAAACAGATGGCATCTCCATCAACTAACTTAAGTAGCTGATATAGCAAAGCATCGAGCAGCTACCCGAAGATCGTACGCCGCGCAACAAATAAAATGGTCATAAACAGGATCGTCTCAATATGCTCGCATGCTCCTCATCGAGCAAATCTAATACCGCTATAAATATGACAAAGTTACAGTTCGATGTAACTTTGCCGGACCTGTCTAACGACATCACCCAAATGGTAATCCGTCTGCAACATTTCAAATGTTATAATATGATATAATAGATAAAACATAATATAAGAAAATTAAGTTAACTGAATGACATTAATTACTATCCGTAAGAATCAACAGATAACGGAACAATGGATAATGCAATGATGGAATAATCAAATGACATGAACTAGTAAACTCTTTTTTGTAACTAAATATTAACAAACTATTAAAATAAGCAAATTAATAAACAATTAAATGAAATAATTTATTTTAATTGTTTAGTTAATGATTTATAAGCAAATTATAGTTTATATAATATTTAATTATAATTACTAGAATATTAAATAAACAATCGAATGTTTAATATTTTATTATTTATAACTAAATAATATTTTATTATTTATTATTTTAATTGTTAATTGATTATTTCATTATTTCTTATTTTAATTGCTAATTGAATATTTTATTAATTGTTTATATAATATTTAATTATAATTACTAGAAGATTAAATAA